AAGAGACCAACAGGCAGGAGGGCAGAGTGAGGGACAGGAACTTGTAGCTCTGAGCTTGATGCTCGGGAGAATATGCCAGGACATGCAGAACCAAGGACTCCAGGAGGTGGAGGGGAGGTTGCATGTCTGTGGCTGGAATGACACAGGTGGAAGAGGGAGCTGAGCTGAGGGGGGTGGGAGGAGCCACAGACACGGCCCAGCATCTCCTGGGGCCGGTCCAGCCCTGTCCTACCTTGGTGGGCTGGAGGTGCTCCAGGATGTTCTCTCGGAGGGTGGCCACGGCCCTGTTGGCGTTTCTCTCCTGCTTGTACATCTGTGTGGTGGGGGGGACGGAGGGGGCCGCGGCCGAGCTCAGGTACGTCCCGTTGCCGAAGGCCTGGATGGCGTTTTCTTGGGAAAGAGATGGAGAAAAGGCTCGTCAGGGCAAGGCAAAACATCCCCGCGCCACCCAAAGGCACCTCTGAGGGTCTTCCCGGCTGCTCTGCTGGCAACCAGGGAGCTGGGCACCCACAGATCCTGAGGAGCAGGGCATCTCCGTGCCCCCATTCCAGAGGAGGCCCCCCCAGGGCACAGGGATGCTGTGAGCACTCACGGAGACAGACGTTGTTGGTGAAGAGGTGCAGGAAGGTCTCACACTCTTCCTGCCGGTTCCCGCTGGCGTTGCAGGTGCACCAGGGAGCGATGCTGGACGTGGAGTTGTCGATGTAGTTGGGGGTGATGGGGCTGCCTGTGGGGGGGAAGGGGTGGAGCAGTGTGACCACAGGGTCGGTGAGATTCCCCCCAAAGCTGCTGTCTTGGGTTGCTCTGCTCTCAGCCTTGGCCAAAGCCCTCTGGGATGGCAGCACAACCCTCCCAAGAGCTGCTGCTGCCGTGGCTCTGGTTTGCTCCCAGGGAGGAGAATCCCAACCTTTGTGGTCACCCCACCGCCACCAAAGTGTTCAATTGATTAGGAAGTTCTCTCAGTCCAAGGAATGGGCATTTTCTGGGAATTCAGGTTCCCTAAGAGCATTCATAGTTTAGGTTGGGAGAGACCTTAAAGCTCATCTTGTTCTACACCCTGCCACAGGCAGGGACACCTTCCACTAGACCAAGCCACAACCAACCTGGCCATGAACACTCCCAGGGGCGGGGCATCCACAGCTTCTCTGGGCAATACGAGGCCTCACCATCCTCTGGGGAAAGAATTTCTTCCTGATATCTAGTCTAAACCCACTCTCTGTCAGTTTGAAGCTGTTCCCC